GCCGTGGTGGATCCGCTACCAGCCAGTCTCCTACAAACTCCACAGCCGTAGTGGCACCGAGCAGGAACTGGTAGACATGGTAGAGCGCTGCAACAAGGTTGGCATTAGGTATATTGATTTTCGCAGTTTTGCTCGGCCTTTGCAATAACAAAGTACTGATTATTTTTATCACAGGACTATGAGCCGGAACGCGCATAATAACCTGCAGTGCTATTAACATAAATTCCATGAGTTGCTTAGATTTTACTTCGGTTGAATGCAAAAAATATTTAATTTAATCAATCATTTAATTTTTTCCCTTTTACGATCATTGCATCATCAGAAGGTATTTCTGTACAGTACCCAGAAAACTGTTGTATATATGCGCATAAAGTCCTTAGCTTTTCATTAGGTCAGAAACACACAGGCGCATCCACAACTCTACCTTGCATGAACTTAACTATAAGTTATTTCATAAAATACTTCTGAAAGTACGTGGCAAATATTCAGTTCCTTTGGTCATAAGGTAAAAATGGAAAATGGTAAAAATTGAGCAAATGTACAAAAACAGTTTTACATAAAAGAGTACCTACCGGCTTTACGGGCATTTGGCAAAATGAGTTGGTATTTCCTCCTGGTCTGTCGAGTCATTGCAGTTCATGAATCTTCGGACTGCAAGCGGAACATTCCATTCTCGCATTACTTTTCAAAGCTATCTCTGATCGATAATATATACAGGACAATGGCGGTGCACGGCATCATTGCCTGGTATGAATGGAGAGTTTATGATTTTGACCGGTACAGTATATTCTTCGGAACTTCTTACGTAATCCGCAAGATGATGGAAGATATTGCCCAGTAGACTAAGACATGAACAGAAAAGATAAAAAACAAACCAATCAAAATATATTACCTTGACATTCACGGAGAAGTGGAACAATAAGTCGGCAGCGTTGCTGTTGCACGTACAACCAAAGTCAGTGTTCAAAACTGCAGAACTTACTGTTAACTATTCAGCTTCTTTTCTATTTAACAATTGGGACATTTGCGTTAGTGTTCACCTGCAAGTACTTTGATAATTCTAAACTGAGGAACAGCGACAAACTCATTTTTAATTTCTAGAATCGTTTCTGATACGGTTATAAACCATATGACTGGTGCAGGTTCCGAGGGACATGGCTCGGGTGGTTCGTACTTCAACGCAAAACTTGGTGTCGAGTCGTTTCCCGGTGTTCCTTATAACTCCTCTGATTTCAACGACAAATTCTGTAATCACGACATTAACAATTACAACGATCCTTGGGAAGTAAGAGAATGCCGTTTGGTATCGCTGTTGGATTTGGACCAGCGCTTGCCATACGTGAGACAGAAAATCGCAGAC